TGTAGCCAAGAGAAGCTGCTATTGCCCGTATTTGCAGAGGCACGGGTAAATATAGTGGCACCCACCCACCCGGGGCTAACCCTGGCGAACCGGATCCAGCTCATGGGCCGTTTTTTGCCCTCCCCAGTCCTAGGCCCTGCTACAGACAGGAGGGGGCAGAATCCTGCTGTCAATCATCATTTTGCACTGTGGACACAAGTCAAGCTCCAGATTCCAGTCAGAAGCTCTGCATGGTACAGCGTGGATGTGCCCAGCTGTGAGACCTGGGTGCAGCAATTGTAAAGGCAGGCTTACAATGCAGCGTGGATGCTCAAGCATGCCCTGGACTGACCAAGTCCACAAGGCTAGGGCCCCCAGATATAAGTTTAAAATGTCGTATAGACATACTCTCAGTGCTGGAGTCAGGTGCGACAGGAATGAGAAGCCCTCTTTCCTCTGAGTCTCCCCTGTATCAACGCCCCTGCATGATGCTTGAGGATGCTGCTGCAGGCAACATCTGTCAGATGAGCTGAGCAGTTTGGCTTGTGGGCATTAATTATATCATTATATATTTTGCAAGAGTACATATGCTAATACTGGTGTCTGTCTGAATTCCAATTTAAGCAACCACACTGTGCCTATCCAAAAGCTCCATATAGTTTTACTGGCTAAAACATGCCTCACTTCGAGTCCTAAAGGGTTCTGGAGGATTGATGTGTGCCACCAAAAAGGTTAAAGGTTTTGTGTGGAAGTTGGTATATTACACTAAGTGATGAAAGTGATCCCTATTGTTACAGGAAGAGTCATCAGGTAGCACCATTATACATAGTCTTGCACAGACTTACACATGGTTTTCTTAATGTGTGAGCAAGGTTTTAGTCTTTGAAGAAATGCTGTATTATTGTTCATTTTTAAAGAATATAAGGATGGCCATACCGGGTCAGATCAAAGGTCCATCTAGCCCAGTGTCCTGTCTGCCAACAATAGCCAATGCCAGGTGCCCCAGAGGGAATGAACAGAGTGTTCCTTTTGAAAGATGCTGTAGCAGATACCAGAGAGTTTGGCAACAATGCTCAGGATAAGAGTAGAGCCAAGCATTGGGGCCTGGTCTGAAATTTCTGGAAAAGAGGATTTCCCTATGCTACGTGTGACTATCCCTGTTCTAGGATTGGTGCATATAGGTAAATAAAGCAAGTTACATTTCAATTACACCCAGACTCGGCACCTCTGATTTTTCCTGCCCTAGGATGCTGACTTGTAAGGCCCCAGAATTCTATCACTCAGCGGAGGGGTGCTGCTGATGTCAGAAACAGGTCACTGGTGTTAGAAGAAGGGGCAACACCATACCTAAAGCTGGATATATTACCATACATGCAAGGAGACCAGAAAGGCTGTAAATCTACCTAAGATACTTCAAAAAGAAAGCTGCTTAATGAATATAAAATCATTCTCATGGGATGAAGGTCAAGGAAGGCAAGTTGTACACTGTGTTAGTGTACTTCAGTCACTGTTTTCTTCCTCATTAGTGACTTTGAAAATGGATCTTCAGGACGGCTGTGTCTAGTACGTAAGGTATTGTATTACCTTCCTTCTATCCACTGAGAAAGGAAATGGTCCTTGTGGTCACCAGGCCACAGGCCACATGGGTTCCATTCTCTTCTCTGCTACAGACTGACTGTTTATGATCTTGGGCAGGTCACTATGGGCTAGATCCATAACAGGCCATAGGCACCAGCCTTGCCATGCCTGATTCTCTGGCTATGTCTATACTGCACACCACTAGCAGCAGCATGTAAGGTTCATGTAACTTCATGCAGGGCTGGTCCTAACTAACTGGCAGCCCTGGGCGACTGCCCAGCTTGCCCAGAGGGTTGCCAGATGGTTTCCAAAAAATACCGGACAAAAATTTGTCAAGTAAAAAAAAAAAGTGTCAGGAAACCTGGGGGGAAAGGGGTCACGGCCCACCCATAAGACCGGCTCTATCGGCGGCCCCTTGAAAATGGTGGCCCCAAGCAACCGCCCACCCCTAAGACCAGCTCTGGCTCCATACTAGTGAAAAGCAGCTAC